AGTGAACTGTCCAGATATACTGGTGTGTGGGTCGTGGGGCGTCAGACTATACAAATGTTATGTCAACTCTTGCAAAACAGGCGGAATTGACAGGGACAGATCTCGAGATTCTGTCCCATTGGCTCACATTTCTGGTCCTCTCGTCCACAAGACGTTCTCCAAGCAATGACCTCAAATGCTAGGATATTGACTCAATTTTTCAAAATTTTCTCAGGCTGCTCAGTGTTATAGGCACAATCATCATATATGACATAAACTTTATGTCAACTTAAATAAAACTGCTTTCCGGCGAGACAACGATCGGCGAACAACTATATAATTATTCAATACTGTCTATGTTCTACTGGGACGCTTAATGTTATAGTCAGTATTTTGATGACATTCATTGTGGGGTGGGATTGTGGATGGCGCCCTAGATTTGGAAAAACACCCACCCACCCCCTATTCCCAGCTACTAGATCCGCTCTGCACATGGTCCCTAGAAAACTCGCACCTGCGGTGCACGGCTCCCGACTGCGTCATTCGTACTGGGGGTATGTACATCAGTCGATCTCATTTTGGCTAAACACCCCCCCCCCCCCAAACAAAATCGTTATGTACGCCCCTGTACAGGACCAAATTCTTCGTGACATTTTTAAAAACACTCGGCAAACCTCAGCAGATTCCGGTACCCTACATCTAACCTCGGCTGTATGATAGTAATTGATATGTACCTACGTCCATACATTTGCGATGCGGCTACCGGTTTACTTTAACAGGAAAACGTGCCGCTTTTACAAAAAAGCCCCAAAATGGCGTCTTTTGTCGAGTGTATATAACTAAACGACCAGAGATATTGTCTCAAGGCTGCTGGTTTGATATAATTCCCTGGTAATTCCCCAAACCCAATGCCAAACTTGACGTTTGTTGATATAATACACTCTCCACAGAAATCTCCATGGGAGCAGCCATTTTTCATCCGGGACCTTTAAAATAGTTCCAATATGGCGGAATTCGTCATACAGCCGAGATTAGATGCGTAGAATCTGTCGAGGTTTGCCGAGTGTTTTAAAAACTTAAATTTTGGAGTTATCTCCCTGTGTACTGTACCTGCAAATTTAGGAACTATATAGTTCTTCATGAAAAATTTAGAACTTTTTTTAGATTTGTCATTAGAGTATAAGGAAGAAATCTATCGAATGGGATATAAAGGTGTAACATACAATTAAAATTACGGATTTACACCCTCATATGCTATAGCAACGCCTTTTAGCAGAGCTATCTTTCCCATCTGATCCCTTGGAGCCACGGCGGCTAAGTGGGTAAGGCGCTGGCGAGGCAGTGGCGGCGCCAGGGGGAGGGGGGGGGCAAGGGGGGACATTTGCCCCCCCATTAATCTGGTCTGCCCTCTGTTTGCCCCACCCCCAATAATTTTAGAAAATAGAAAAAAGTATTTGTGATACGTTTCGGTAATCAATACCTTCTACGGTGAATAAATCCCACATCCCCACTTAGTCATAAACTTGCATGTTGTAGAGCATATCCGACAGTCTATTTTTCAAAATTTTCTTGGCGAGATCCCCCAATGGACTCGCTACTTTGGCGCTCACAAGGGGAATTCGTTGAGGTTCGCAAGTCTGTTCGTTTGGCATTTTGTTCTCTAGTCGGATAAACTAGTGATCAGGCGACGAACGGTATCTGGGCAGATCTATTTATCTTGACGATCGGTGCCTGACAGAATACTGTAAGACAGCATTTCCGGCAGTCTATTTTTCCAAATTTTCTGGGGGGAGAACTCCCTACTTTGACACTCGTGGGACGGCTTCGTGGTGAATCGCAAGTCCGTTCGTTTGACACTTTACCTCATCGATCAGTGCCTGAAATACTGCCAGGCTGCATTTCCGGCAACCTGTTTTTCAAAATTTTCTGGGCGAGGCCCCCCTACCCCTAGTTGAAGCTCATGCCTTTGCCCCCTTAACCTTGGACTTTGCCCCAGCTTTGCCCCTCCAATCACTGACGGCTGGCGCCGCCACTGTGGCTAGGTCGCGTCTTCGATCGAGAAAGTTCATCGGGATTTTCTAGCGTGGTTTCCCCTTGTCAGTGGTACAGGATAGAGGGCCTGACAAGGACAGCTGTCTAGTCGTTCGGATAGGACGAAAAATACCGAGGTCCCGTGTTATACATTGACGTGCACGTAAAAGCTCCCTTGGCAGTTGGAATTCGATATAAGAGTAGGCCATAGTGCCGCTGCCCGGGCAAAATTTCCCTCGTAATACACTGTATGGCGCATGCCCGTCTTCATTAGCTCAGTAGGAGCAGAATTTAACAGTAGGGCGTTAAACCCCATTTTATTTCATTTCATTTCTATCTCAACTTTCAAATGAAATGGGGGTTATATCGAATTCCGATCGTTCGTTCCAGGAGTTTTATGTCCACTTCCACCAAGAATGATATCGTTCACAAGTGTTTCCTAAGAAACGTCCCAGAGGAACTCACAAAATATGCTTGATCCAGCTTGTTTGGTTAATACACAATGTCTTTGCAGGGTATATTTCATCCAAAGGAGAGGCTCCGGATGTAAGAAAAGAAAGAATGGCGAGCGTGCGCAGTCTGAATCGAATTGCTAAGGGATCTTTAACGTACACGCCAGTGTGTACACGGAATCTCGATTTTTCGTCCCATTCGAACGACTGTACGTTGTCCTTTGCGAGGCCTCGGTCCTGCACCACTGACCAGGGGGCACCACGCCGGAACAGCAGGACGTCAAACCCCATTTCATTTCATTTCCATCTCATCCCGACTTTCAAATGAAATGGGGGTTATATAGAATTCCAACTGCCAAATGGTCTTTAACGTGCACGCTTATGTGTACACGGGATCTCGTTTTTTGTCCCATCCGAACGACTATGTTGTCCCTTGCCAGGCATCGGTCCTGCACCACTGACATGGAGGAACCACGCCGGAAAAATCTTGACTTTCAAAGTTTGTGAGAGGATAGTATGGTGCTCTATTCCAGCCACTTCCCGCGTCGCCTTTGAGAATAGCATCGCGTGTCGCGCGTCGCTGTTTCAATGTTATTGAAAAAAAAACCCGTCAACTTTTCACGACGTCGCCCTTAAAATAAAAAGTGATGCATCGCCCTTGCGCGTCGCTTTTTAAAGTTATATTTTATTTTTAGATTGACTTCCTTTAGGAGACTTCATTATTTTACATTTTACAATATATTTTTAGTGACTAATAAACCAGGTTCTTAATTTATTATTCACCATTCAAAAACACCATCAACTGAAATATACAATGCAAAACCTTCCTTGTGTACAATAATTACTGCATTGAAGGAAAGTACTAAACGGCAAATGAATTAGCCTGGTACATGCGTATTTCGTCATCAAAATTAGACGCTGAAGGGCGGCGTCGTGTTAAAAAGTCGACGTCGTTTTTCTTTTTTTCTCTATCGCTAAACATTGAAAAAAGCGATGCATCACAACAACTATCAACTAGAAAATAGGGACGCGAGACGCTTTTTTCTCTATAGCTTAACATTTAAAAAGAGACACGAGTGAAATGGCTGAAATAGAACACCATAGGATATAATTATCAATGAAGAAATATTTAAAACTTGCTCATGTTAGGGCTATTTTAGAGCTAACGAACTAAGAAGCCCTGTATAGAGTGTTTACGTGAAAAGTGGACTGACTCAAATGAAGAATGCCAACATTAAATGGGGCTATAAAAAGAGCAAAGTTTAAAAACCCCACGATTTTAAACCCTTGTTACAAAACAATGACGAATCGGATGAACTAGGTGACCCAATATCTTCCATAGCAATTGATATTTGTTATGCCATGATGCGACATACTTATAATGCTTATATAATGACAAATAAATCAATAAGTATTTTTGTATTCACACAATTACTAACTGATATTATGAAAATGTCACGAGTGTCAAACAAAATTAATGGCCGCTAATAATTTGTTAAATAATTATGATTTCTTTACAGGTTTTGAAAAAATTCTAATTACATGTATTTCACAATTTTTTATATGATTCTGCAATGCAATCAACATTATGCAGATATTTTGATCACAATGTTATTTTAATACATAAAGAAATAATTAGTTTGCAGTCTTGTCAAGAAAAATAAATTGATTAAAGATTCGGTGTAATACGTAAGCACAATGTTATTGCCTATTCTCAAAGGGAATTCCTTTTGTCCACCATAGTGTAAAATAAGAAAAATTTATCACTGCACAATTTGCACATCATAATGTCGTGGCCTTCCCTAAGATTGTTTTAACCAACCACTGATCAAAAGAATGTAACATTTACAATACAAAACCATGATTATGATTACTTTCACTACTTAAAGCTACTGTCCCATCGGTCACGATTAATCACGGTTGCCACTCCCAATGGCCACGAATATCCTCTGCTGTAAATTGTGATGATTCATGACAACAATCGCTACAGCCCTTTCACCATCAGAGGCACATTGTAAAAAAAAATATTATGCAAAAAGTGGACATGGTTTGCCACGCGCAACCTTGGAGAAATTTGAACAATCTTGAATATTCGTGTTCCCCCACGAATTCCCGACCTCCCGAACCTGGCTGAAAACAGATTCTCCAGAACCTATTTTGTTTTTTTCGTAATGCCGTTGAAGTCTCTTCCTGTTTTGAGAATGTCTGCCTGATCTTTATTAACACAAACCTTTTCAAACTGCTTGTATGATTTTGTAGTTCTATATTGAACTGGTAAATGAGTTTGTAATTCAAGCAGACCACTCTTGCAAATCTACAATTTCAGCTGATAGTAAAGTACGTTAGCCTGCACTTTGATTCATCTCGAGTGACGAAATCTCTGAGCGAACAGTGACATGATAAACGCACTCAAAATCACCCTACCATTTCAGGATTAAGAAGATATCCTAAAAAACGACCCAGGCAGTCACCCCTCTGTCACAGGAAAGATTCAGAACAATTCAAAAATTTAAAGAAAAACAAAGTCTGAAACAGAAACCACATTACACACTTTTAATAAAAACTCATGTTTTAATTGAAATCTTTAAATGTCATACATGCATATAGAACTGGGGATTTGGAATATCATAAGCGTTGTGCGGTGTCTGTAAGATAATCCCCATACATTTATCTCCAACGAGCACTATAAGCTCATTTACCATCTAAGCTGCAGAGAAAATAATGACACTCGAAATCCCGGGGCAATTATATCATGTTGTAAAAACATACGCAGGGGAGGAAGGCATGCATATCATACTTCTTCTAATGTCAAGGCTGGTAATCAGTGGTAATCTCGAATTTTATTTCTTTAGATTTTCTTGTCTCGCATACCTTTCAATCTGATCTAAATTAGAATTTTGCAAAAGTAGTGGGTAACAAATAAATGTGGTGATAGACGACAACCATGGAGGATGACAAATGTACATTTTATATATTTTTTCAATAGAATACACAACATTTAATATATTCACATTGTATTTATAAACAAAACAAAAAATTCAACATCACACATCATGAAGTTATACGTTGTAGCCGTTTATATGATGTATATGGCGTTGTGCTGAATAATTTCGGTCTGTTAACGAGACAAGCTACACTGACCAATCGGGCATGCTCAGATTTAAACACGGATCCTATTTCGTTTCGTTTTTTTATAGTTCAAAAACTTGTTTTACTATTCTTTACTACACTAGGTTGGTTGGTTCTTTAACGTCTGCTTCAACATAAGTGATATTGCAGAACTACACAAGGATCTGATCTTCTATTAGTGTTTAACGTCCGCTACCACCGAGGGTATAATTTTACTATGCTCAGCGCAGAGAGGTCTTTCTTGTTGGGGGGGGGGGTGTGATAAGGCGCCCCTATCTCAAAGCTACATACACTCACATCAGGGATCGAAACCACGACGGCAAGCCAGAGGTGACGGGGGGTCAGCTAGAGCCAGAGCTCGGAGCGCGACACTCTAGATAACTATGCCATCCCACCCACCCCACCCCCTCCCTACAAGGATCTGGAAGAGTTGTTTTGTTATATAACCCGCGTTCTGGTTAATGTGAGTGATCTGGCAATGAAACGGTCTGTTGCGGCGATTTCTTGGCGTGCAACATCAACATCAACGCTTATTACTTAATTAATGACATCATAGGGTCAAATGCCGCTCGTATGACCCCTGATGCGATCTCCCACTACAACCGGTCAGATCTTTATGTAGTGGAGGCCATCGAAAGTATAAAAAACGAAACGAAATATAGATCTGTATTTTAATCCGATTGGATTGTGTGCAGAATTCTACACATGTCTGACTGAGATATGGAACTGTTGAGACTGACATTTTATGATGATTTTCAAAGCGTTTAGGAGAAGCGCGGAAAATGTTTGTCTCAAAGAATGTCGGTTATTCGAATTTTTATAGTTATGTATGATGCTACTACAGTCATTTTCTTAAGAAAATGTCTCTTTAACATAACATTTTAAATCTGATTGGCTAATCAGTTGGTACGGGTTCATTATGGGAAATACAAGATCCATCATATTATGCATTACATTATCGTTAACATTCTGTGGCTCATGATACATAGGCCTACATCAAATCATAAAGACTTGATATTTAAAAAAAAATAACTATAACTTTTAGTGACGGCTATGCCTACCCTTTCTAGAAAATCTGATACCACGTTTCATAATTTGAGGGATTCAAATAACTATGTTTTTTTCTACTTTTGTATAAAAATATACAGTTCTGTTCTAGACACTTTATCACAAGGTAAAGATTTGGTTAAATTTTGAGTCTTCATTTTGAGATTACATTATATTATGTTTCACGTCATACTTAAGCCTTGCAGATCATAAAATAACCAATGGGGATGGATAAATTTTAATTCAAATAATTAGTAAGTATAATTTAAATTTCTGTCATTTTAGTATATATTTGGGGGGTGGGGGGTCTATGGTAAATGAACCAGATGTAAACATCGACTGTGTCTACTGAAACCACGGACCGTATATACAGTTGGTACTTGCAGTTTAATATATACACAACCGATTCTTAACATCGGTCAAATAACGGTAATATTAACAACATATCACAGTAAAGTTGATAAGGATATTTGTTTTTATATAACAATATACAAGATTGGTGATCACTATTAAAATAAGCAGTAATGTGTTCAATCATTGACCATATATTATAAAGGTTAATGATTCAGTTAATATGCACACATATAATAAATAATGATCAATTGCCATACGTTAGTTTATCAGTATGCTCTACATTTATTTTGATTAATGAGATTCACGCACGAACTGTTGTCATGTTCATTTAAACGGTCAGCTCAGCAATATCAACGCACCATATTTCGACCCCCCCCCCCCCCCAAAAAAAAAAACACTGTCGGATTAATACTAAACTGTTCGATCACTATTATATAATCCGATAATAAATATTCGCATTCCATCGTTGGTTTAGCGTACAGATGTGCATGTGGACCAAATTATATTGAAACAGATAAAAAAAAAATTGGTTTTAAAACAAAAATGTGCCAATGTCATTTGAAACGTAAACGTCTGTTTGTTTCACAAAACGTCATGCGTGAAGTTTATCAATATTAAATGATTTTGGACCTTTACTCTCTTAGTATGTGAATTCCTCAAACGCAGTAAAGTTCGGCTTGATAATCGACCACGTTACATAACCAAAAGAAACGCTTTCTCTTATCATTAAAAATCTACAAAGCCGCAATGTTGTTCCAGGCTATGGACTTGATATATCACGATGGTTGTTTCTCAAATCCAATCAATTGCTTTACTTGAATAGAAATGTTTTTTGAGCGAACACATGTTCTCGGCGATATAACTTCTGAGGAAGCGGAAATAAAACACAAATAACCGTCAGTCAAAAAATGAGTTATGCTATTACCTTTGCTGAAACACCAGACGTCACTTCTCAGTAATATGAAAAGTTCACATGACTTAAAATAAATTGTTAAATCTGTATGATTATCGTCGTGTATTTTAATATATAATTATTATTATTATGCACCTTTGTTCTCCGCCGTGTCTTTGGCATCCCCATTTCAGCATTATTGCTCATTTAATAGACTGCATTCTCAATTATTGGCACAGGTGTTTACCACGCACTAGTAAGTTAGATATGTATTACGCATTCGACTAGAACGATAATATGCGTGGACGCAAAATAGTCCAGCCATTTCCAAAATAATCGAAACTTCCGAAATTCTAGCAGTTCGGCTTCATGTCATTTAACTCATTGTTAATGCCTAAATGTTCGTCGTAAACGTCGCCGTGCACGTTTCCGACACCGGGTTGCCGTTTCCCGTTACCATAGAGTATCTCTCACCCCGATGCGTCTTGCTGCAGATCTTATCCAACCACGATGATCGACCGTAACAGGTGAGGATGTACAGAATTTCTTTTCTAAAATGTTTGCCAGTAAAGGCGTAAATAAACACGTAACATGCGTAATGAGACAAACAAATAGTGTCAATAATTTTTCGGATCGTCATGAACGTAAACATGGACGACCACTCCGGGTCTTCACGAACTTCTTCGTCCGTTAAGTGGATGCTTCCGTGTGTGAAAACATATTGCATACAATTTAATATTGTTGATGCGATCTGTGTGACGATTAAATAAAATGATACAGCGAGAAGCGTCACCGTAGACGCAGTGGTACTGTTGGTACCTCCACTTTGTCGAGCAATGACGCCGTTGTTAGACAACTTGTATATTTCACGTAGAACTAGCACATTAAATATTAACACAATCAAAGGAACGACTCCGAATATCAGCAAATCCGTGATCCATGTCCAAACATTCCAAAAGCTTCCATTTCCACCAACTTGGGCTTCCGGTCTAATGTTGCAGCTGTCCGTCAACGAATAGTAAAACCAAATATATGTTTGCGCCGACGCAATAACAACAGAAAACAGTGTTAAAATCCCAACAAGAAAAGAAGCGCGACGAACCGTGCACCATTTTTCCTTCAGAAACGGATGAACAACCGCGATGTAACGTTCCACTGTAAATCCCAATACCAACAACGTTGATAGATATTGTGGAACGTAGTAAAAGAAGTGGAACACCTCGCAACCATTTTTTGTATTGTATGTCTTGTAACCCCAAGCCAGGTGTAAAGTTGCGATGAGATGAAGTACAAGAAATATAAAGTCAGAAATTGACAGAGCTCCCAGGTATATGGCAGACGAATTGTTTCGCCTCATACGTTTACCGAACCATATTGCCGCTGACATGGGGTTTCCCACAAAGCCGATAAGGTACCATATCGGAGGTATCACTCTTTCCGCCATCGATGCCCCCGGAGCAAAAGTGTCGATCAGAGCAGCTATTGATGGATAACGAAGAAATACGTTGGGCATGGGTTCCGTTGAATTTTCCATTGTCTGAAATAAACACAAAATAACATTAGTCATTGAAGTAGTTAGCAAGCAAAGAAATCTAAAATGCTGACTTAATTTTGGACAGAGCTTTATACTCTGTTAGCGCCATTTCAAATGAACAAATCATCAGGGCGACCACCACCTGTGTCTCTCGTCTTTCAACTGATTAATTCTGTATACATAATACAGTAAAGTAAGCCAAGTCTACTATATGTACTTTGGTAACCCAGGTTATTGTGCATCCCTAATAAGTTTGTCTGTGATCAATATTTCACCGCAGCATTTTCAGGTGCGAAGTATATCGTAAATGGCGCTCTAGCCCGTCATTGTTGCAATTCCCAAATTATATTTTTTAAGCTATGGGAAACAAAATGCTTCTATAAGTTGATTAAAAAAAACCCCAAAAACGTCAACTTGTTCACACTATTTGCGTAATGAAAATAACAGCCTCGAGGCTACAATAAATCAGCTTTAAAACTGACCATTTAAGAATTATTGATTAATGAAAGTCGTCCCAGTACTATCATAGATCTGGATTAACGGTCAATTCGATTACTTGCACCACTGATGTTGAAACTGTATTCTACGTCTTATAGCTTTAGTATCATAAATCCAAACCCAAACTATCTCTTCATAAGCAATAAGAGAGACATGTTAGCCACACCAGACATCGTATTCTCCACAGTCTCCAGATCGCCGGTTAATAATAAGGGGTATGTACTGTTCTTAAACCGGGATCGAGTTTCACGTAAGATGAAATATTTGATCCCGCCTGAATAACCGCTGAACATGACTAGTCGCAGACATACATCTAATTTATATCCTTTCATGAAAGTGATGTGGACATCCGCAAATTTTTTTGTTGGGCGAGTGAGCAGTTTTGTTAATTGATGTTTTGGCAGGTATTGACCTGGAAAAAACCTTCCTCCAGCCCCCATATTGCAAAAAAAAGGCCACACATGGCACAATGTGAACCTGTTCTGTTAATGTACCAATCATCCGGTAATAATATATTGTATTATTCAATAACGTACTTAGTGAAACAAAACTGATCTTTGTACAATCGTTTTAACTCATCTCAAGAGATTTGCACCATTTGCTAATAAAGACTTAACTTTAATGGCAATCCGATCCCGGCTCCGACTAGGCGCTATCCAACTTACTCAATTAATGTAGAGGTCAAAATTGTTTATTAAAGCGGAAGACTCCTGATGGATATGATATGTAATTGCGTAAAATCCACAAACCCCAAAGGATATTTGCAGAAATCAGCGCACATCATTATGAGGCGTTATTTAAGAGCCGGGAATTACCCGTTCAACTCTCTAGCTGGTGTTCTAAAGCCCAGTCATGTCTGGAAAAATTGCACTACTCATCTCAATAAACTCAAATTTAACGATTATCACTGACACCATATAACAACTTCTTATATAATGAGATTACTATATACTTCTAAAAGTACAAAATATATCCAAATAAAGAGAGAACACAGTCTCTATCTTCACTCACAAATCATTTAACCATAGACCAATCTTTTAGCGGTGTTGTCGAATTTCAAAGAACATTATATCCTCTTATGTCTAGCTACATCATTCGATTTATGTCTAGCTACATCATTCGATAACAGCATTACTTACTCACGAAGACAATTCGTAAAAAAAAATTCAAATACTAGGTTTTCAAAATCTTATTGATAGATAGATAAGTTTTTGATTGACATACCTATTTGATCATTTTAAATGTTAGAATTTAGGTTTAGACGATAGTGACACTCGCTTTAAACCCACCCCAATAGTGAAACGTAATCAAGACAAACAAGATAGAGATATCATTTGATCAGTGGGAATTTAATGGGACTGATTATTCTGTGAAATATCAAGAACTTCTAATAGTATCAAATTAGACTAGCTTCATCACTGCTTTATATCCCCCGACACTTCTTAGTCGTTTCAAAAACAAAGTTATAAAATCAATTATGATGTAATTTGACGCAATGCACTACTTCGAGACAGTAAATATGTAATCAAATAAAACCAAGAGGAAGTCACGGGTGCCACTCTGTAAGCACAAGTATATCTGATTACATGATATTAGGCGAAGAAACGGATAAATTGGCGGCCGGATTACCCAGTACATATGATTCAGGGATGGTTACACCGGATAGGACATTCAAATCAGTCCAAATGTTTACACTAAAACAGGCAACACCCACTCCCATCTAGCAGACTTATCATTTATTTTAAATGGCAAGACGTATCTAATAGGTTCTGCGCGATCACGCTGCATACAGGAAATAAAAACCACTTCATTTGTCAAAGATCATGTTAAACATTGAAACTATACACACAAAAAAAAATAACACCACAAGAATTATCAAGTCAAGTCAAATAAATTAATAGGCGAGTAGCAACTCGTAACACAGGGACGTGTAAACGAGAAAGTTCTTCATTGCGATGTAATAAACCTATTGTTTGAATGTTACAGTACACGGATAGCTTTGATCACATATTAGACTTGTTTCTATTTTGATGTAAAAAAGATACTTCGACAAAGCAGCAAAGTAAGATTAAAGATCACGATCTAGATTTGAAAATAGCAAGAAAACCGTACCTAGACTGGATTAAGAATAGTAGGAAATGATAATTGCAGCCGATTGACCTATCCTAGAGGAACTGTTGACTAATGAAATTTTTGAAATGCATTAACCGTGGCTCTGTCTGTCGAAAGTTAAAGAATTCGCGTTTTTGCCCAATATCACCAAATTAGTTTGTATTTCCGTGGTGGAAACCTCCTTGCTGGAATTTTTACATTGATTTTAAAGAAGGAACAAGAAAAACATTGTTTGCCAATGGATTTTTTTTTAAAAGATCGGGACAAGATATGGCTCTTTTTTCCTAACCTCTATCCCTGTGTCTAGTTTTGTTTTTCTAAGATTTCATGGATATTGACATCTCAATTAAAGCTTGAATCAATGCCCCAATACTTAAAGTTGGTTATCTGTTCATCAATGACCACAGCATTCACCAAAACGCTAAGCGGCTAACGTTCATTTTCATACACAGTAGGTCTACATTTACTTGATGGAATTCACTTTCGTTAATTAAATCCCGAACCAGCCTGCGATATTTGTAATCGAGACTATGTTTTTTTTATCCTACCTACTTTAGTAATGATGATAGAGGCTAGGCCTAAAATTCAAAAACTATTATCTCGGTTCAGAGTGGATCAATTATCTAGTTTTTAACTATTATAGTGAGAACTGCCAGCTCTTTATCTAATTTCCCATAATGCCCCTTTAATTACTGTCATACTTGCAGTACGTAATCTTGTTTAATGTATTGAACGCAATTTAAAATTTAATACTAAGTCTTGTATGTCACCGTGCAACGCAATAGTAGTGGAAACGGGTTTAAAGTCTCGTCAGCACAATTATACGGCCGTTTTGAGATCAGTATATGATAAAAATACTTATGTGGCTTCTTGTGTAATATGGTGGGGTTGATTGCCAGTTCTTTTAAGTGCAAACCAATGTAAGCGCGAGTGGATGGCGGGTTTTCGTCCTATCCAATCGAGCAAACACATTTCCCTTATCAGCCAAGACGGCGCGATTCCCGACAAGTGGAAACAGGGATACTCTTCTTTGAAAACGCCGGAATGCAGCGCAACAAAGAAGTTTCTAATAATTTGACTCTTCATTATCCAATATCAGTACTCGACATCCGAGCAGTCAAAGCGATATGGTTGAATGAATGTATTTGATGGCAAAAGGCATTTGTTAATATACATTGTGCTTGATAACGATAAGACAATACTTATCGAAACGTCGTGCTTGTGTATAATAAACCAGTGATTGTTGTCCCATATAACTGTATAGTTTTGATACATTCGAAGGCTGGCCTCGTCTTTTGACACCATAAAATCAAAAATGCCCACTTAATGCTTCGTGATTAGTCTAAGAGAGGTGTCCTAATTTGTCTTCGGAGGTTCCATCACCGACGTCCCTAGATACCAATTCTCACTCGTCGGTCCAATTAGCCAGCTCCTTTAGCTGTTAGCAGACGATTATCGTCAAGTTAGATGCTCCATTGAGAAATTTGAATTGAGCGGTCATCATCACCGGGGCCTGTATTTATCAAATTTCGCACCATAAAATGAATTAGTCTCCAGATTTAAGATAACAAAACGCCATAAACAATCAGACATTGTAAGACTTAGCGTTTGATTTATAAACAACAACTCGGCTGGTATCATTTAAGAAGTTGGTAAGCATTAATGGAATTGTCAATCATACGCGATGTCTTATAATAGCGGTATTATTGTAGTTGTTGCTCGTAGCTAATAACCGTCTGCATTGAAGCAAATAAAAGCACATTTTAACCAGATAAAGCATACATCACAGCCGAATTGAAGACTTTGTCGCCAGTTAAGAACAGAAATATCATTGACCACATCTAACTTTTCTCTCAAATCTTTTAAACATGGTCTACGTACATGACAACACAGACAATTTAGTTTCGTATACGACATAAACGCCGTTATTCATACATACCGATAGATATCGTTGAAATTCTTCAATGCAATTCACCTTATTGACAGACTGTATCATACTTTTAGAAATAAGGATTCAGAACCTTATCAAATTATTCAAAATTAAACCATTTTCTGACTATGTAATTGAATTCAACAATAACAAGTCGCAAACACTGATTGATTATTCGTTCCTCAATTAGACTATACGGGGTTTGTTTAGAGCAAAGTTTAACTACCAATTGGGTACCCAAAACAGGACTGTCTGGTGTGTAAACAATCTTCAGTTGATATCAAAAACATCCCACAGACTATCGCCATTACAGCTTGCTTGTTAGAAAAAACTAAAATTTGTTTTTCCAAGGTACTGAGCATCATCTTAGATATTGGACAAAGGGGTAAAAAAACTGTGCTATACTTATTACTCTAGTTCGTTTCCAAATTGTCCACAGCAATTTTTCAAATCACCACGATTA